ATATTGAATTTCATAGATCATAGCTATGAAAATGATGAAGAATTATTTCATTCATTATTACTTATTTTAGATGAAAAGAATGTGCGAACTAATAGAGATGATTTAAGGAATTTACTTTCTTTTTTATCTAATATTTACCAAAACCATCACCGTGGACATTTTTTCTTTGATAGGATTAAAAAAATTTTAGATCATTTGAAAGAAGATATAATGCAGAACTTTTCAAACGATGAAATATTTAACATAGTCATTGACAGCCATCAAATTTTGCTTTTTTTTTTTGAGAACCAAACAATAACATTTGATATTTCAATTTTCAATTATTTTCAAAAAAATGATTTTTCTGAATCTTTTCTATTTTTTTTTTACAAAGAGATTATGTCATTTTTCAATGAAAATATAAAACAGGCTGATCTCCTTGATATGAGTGATAATTTGCTTTTTGGAAACCAAGTTACATTTAAAGCACGATTTAATGATTTAAGAGGTTGTGAAAATCAAAGCCCAGGACTAAAAATTAACAATCAATATTATCATGAATTAGGTAATTACGATGAAAAACGTCATATTGGTGAAAATGAATCATTTATTTGTTTATTGATTAGAAATGATTCAATCGATGAATTTATTAGTTTTGTAAACTCGACAAATGTCAAATTAAACAGGCCAATTGAAAGATCAAAATATGAAACAAACCCATTTTTGGCTTCAAAAACACCAATAAGCATCATTAATTATGCAGCATTTTTTGGATCCATCCAAATATTTAAATTCTTGCTTAAAAGCAACATTCGCATTGATAAGGATGTTTGGTATTATGCAATCCATGGAAGAAATGTTGAAATGATCCATATAATTGAAGATCAAGGATTTAATTTGAGTGTTTTTAATGATGATGAAATTTTGAGTCTTTTGAAAGAAGCAATTAAATGTCATCACAATGAAATTGCGAGTTATATTTTAGACAACATGACGAATCAAGATTCAAAATATTTAGATGAACAGTTAACATATATTTGCTGTTCAACATGCAATTATTCGCTCATTCCCGATGAAATCAACATTATTGAACTCTTTTTTTTTCTGTGTGCAAATGCATACGATCAAGGACTTGTTAAATACATGTTAGAAAAAGATGAAAAGTTGGCCAAATCGAAAGGTATCATCAAATCTGCATTAAAGGATGCATTACAAAATAAAAAATATGATGTTGCTCAAATTTTGTTGGCAATACCAGGAATTGAAATTGAATCAAAAATGTTCCAAAATGTAAATGTATTGACAAAGTTCATAATACCAGAATCAGTAACAATAATTGGCGATTATGCATTTGATGGATGTCGTGAATTACGAGAAGTAACATTTCCTTCATCATTGATTTCAATTGGTAAATATGCATTTCGAAAATGTACCTCTTTGAAAAGCGTAACTATTCCTTCAGTAACATCAATTGGATACAGCGCATTTGCTGAATGTTCATCACTTGTCAAAGTAGAAATTCTTTCATCATCATTGACAACAATCCAATTTTTCACTTTTGAAAAATGCTCTTCTTTAAAAGAAGTAATAATGCCTCCTTCTGTTGTCTCAATTGAAAGAGGAGCGTTTGATAAATGCACATCAATTATGTATATTGAAATGCCAAAATCAATTTCATCTATTGGCGATTGTGCCTTTCGAAGCTGTACTTCATTACAAGAAATTTCAATTCCATCTTCTGTGGAAGTGATCAATGCAAATACTTTCTTAAATTGCTCAAGTTTAACTCAGGTATCATTTATTGTTCCCTCCTGTGTAAATGAAATTAAAAGTAATGCTTTTAATGGTTGTTCCTCATTGATTGAAATATCTCTTCCATCAACAGTTTCAATAATAAGTGAAAATGCTATTCCGGCAAATATACATATTGTAAGGTTATGATGAAGATTTTTAAAGTTTTATTTTTTTATATAAACGAATTACAAAATTTAAGAACTTTAACGAAATGTTTTTCCTTAATTTTTTTAGTATTTTAGTCAACAATAAATTTCAGCTTTTGGTAATAGATAAAATAAATTCAGATTTGATATATATCAAAATTCATATTGCAATGAAAATGAAGGATTATAAATTGATGAATAATCATCTTATATTGATAATAACAGTTAAATTAGACCTTTTTATAAAAAGAAATTTTTTTTGCGATAAAGTATACTTTTTAGCTATAATCTCCACTTTTTCATAAAAAAAGAACTTTTTCACTTAAACAAATGAATCTTTAAATCTTAAAAATAAACTGATAAAACATAATTTATAATAGCCAAAATATATTATATGCTTGTCTAGAATCATATAACATTGGTTTTAAATAATAATTCTAATATTTTTGCGTTTTTGTGAAAAAGTTCATTTTTATGAAAAAGTGATCATTATCGCTAAAAAGTATTCTTTATCGCAAAAAAAATTTCTTTTTATAAAAAGGTCTATTATACCTACAATTTTGGCTTTTCATACTTTTATCATAAAAGAGTAAAAAAAAAAAATATTGAATTATATCAGGATTCTTTAATTTAAATTCAAATGTAAGTCACTTCTGCACCTTTAGGTTTTTCTACATATGATAATGAAGAAGGAATAGTGATTTTCTTCAAAGCTGTACAATCAGTAAATATGTATTTGCCACATTTGGTCACTGAAGAAGGAATTGATATTTCTGTGAGTGAAGTGCATTTTTCAAAAGCAGAATTTCCAATGATTGTTACAGAAGAAGGAATGATAATTTTTGTTAATGATGTGCAACCCCAAAAAGCATGTTTTTCAATTTCAGTAATTGATGATGGTATTGTTATTTCAGTCAATTTTTCACAATTTTTAAATGCATTTTCTTTAATTCGTGTATCTGGTAATGACATCAAAATATTCATAATGTCAATATTATTATTCATAGCAGCTGCATGCAAAATTGTTAAATAAAAATAAATATTATTTGAATTCTATTGAATATTTTAATTTTAAACGAAATTAATAAATTATAAAAATGAAACTGAATTTAAAAAAAAACGTGATTTTTTAAAATTTCATTCAAAAGTATTTGATGTTAAATTCTATAAAACATATTTTATCGTTAATTCTAAAAAAAAATATAATAAAACGACATCAACATTAACATTGATTTTTTTCATTTTTAACAGAAGTTCAATAAGCTCATAATAATCATATTGGCACAAATAAGACATGCAAAAATGATTATGTAGACCTTTTGGGAAATAATTATAATTGTAATAATAAAAAGCATAAACGATGAGTACATTAACATTGAATCTTTTTCCTTTAAAATAATTCACCTCTTCTTCCTTAACGTATTTTTCTTTGATATAATTTGCGATATCATTATGATGGCATTTTACAGATTCTTTGAGGCATTTTTCATAAGTTTTGTCTTCTGGTTCGACTTTATTTTCTTCAAGAAATTGAATCATTTCGATTTTGTTACTGTGAATAGAATAAAGCCATAAAGACGGTTTTAATTCGATGTTTTGTGATTGTAAATATTTGATTATTTCAATTGATCCATAAAAAGCTGCATATTCAATTAATTCTGGTTTGTTTTTAATAAGAAAATGATTTGTTTCATTAATTGATGGATCTATTTTTTCATCAAGTTTCGTTTTTGTTATGTTGATGTATGCTATGAATTCTTCAACAGAATCTTTTCGAATTATTTTGCAAAGCTCAGAATCATTTTCACCGATTTTTCTTATTTCTTCTAGATTTTCTGGAACTTCTTTTTGTAAATCGTGAAGCCTTCTCTTGTGCTCAAATGGTTTGATTTCTGGAAAATAAAAAAGCGGATAATGAAAACTGTCATATTTATACTTGTTCATTAAACTTGCAATTGGTTGATCAATTGCTAAAATTTCCTCTTGCAGTAAAAATAAAAGAATAGCTTTTTGTTTCATAAAAAGTTGGAATAATTCGATATTTGAATAGGTCTGTTTGATTTCATCTTTGTACATCTTAATGAGTTTCTAAATTTTGTTAATGAAATTTGGAGTCCTGTTATGGTTAGTGGATATCGATTTGAGTAAATAAATGAATGATTTGAGTCGATGGTGATTTTCGCTTATTTTTAAATCATTTAATAATTTGATTAAATTTTCAAAATTTTCTTCATCATCGTTTTCATGCTCAATAAAAGTAAGAATGGCTTGTTGAAGTGATTTCATTCTATCAACATATGCCTGAATTTCTTCCATTTAGAATTGATTTTTATTAAAAAAAATGATTGAAGAGGTTTGTTAATATTTTCTATTGTTTATTTTTTGTAAAGTATTCAAAATATATTTTAATCAAAGAAAAAAACATTAATTCTTCATCTCTATCATTTTTTATATTATGGGAGAAAATAAAAAGATACTTTTTTTCATCATTTTAATATACCAATTACTTTTACATTGAAATGATAAAACTTGGGCTTGTAATTGAGAAATCTCGTCTTGATTTTCTTTTTCAACACGAGATATTAAATCTTGAACTTTTGAATTGAGTTCAGTTTTGATATCGTTACAAATCTTAATTTTTTGATAATTTTGACATCAACATTTTCAATTTTAATAATTTGTGGAAGTGGCTTTTTAAGATATACAGTCTCCATAACTTTTTGAATAAAAGATAAACAATTGACATCAAAATATTCATCATACTAAATTTTTATCGACGAAAAACATTTAAAAAGAATCCATATGTAAGAGGAGTCTGAAAAGACAGCAGTAGTAATACTGTGAAAGTCTTTTATAATCCGATCATTACATCATAAAAAGGGAGAATCGCCTAGGTGTATGATCACGGCTGTGAATAGTGGGCGCAGTTGTTAGAGTTTGAGTAACATCAACTATCGATTAAGACACTTCTATATACAGTCCTACTTGGTTACGTCACTAAAAACCCATTTACAGTGGCAACAAGGATAAAAAAAATTATTAGCGTAAAAAAACTTCTAATTTTTTTTCACTATATTTGATACTTGGTTGATCCTGCCAAGGAAGCACACTTCGGTCATAGATTAAGCCATGCAAGTGTTAGTTCAGGCAACGAAACTGCGAACAGCTCATTAATACGCTCAGAATCTACTTGGTGGCAACCTTTCAGGTTTTATTTGGATAGCAGCAGTAATTCTGGTGCTAATACATGCGATTGTTTCACACCAATCGATTGAGCGACCTATCATGCTTGTACTTAGGGTCTTTACCTAGGTAGGCTATCACGGGTAACGGGCGGTTACCGTCGGACTGCCGGAGAAGGGGCCTGAGAGATAGCCACTATATCCACGGGTAGCAGCAGGCGCGAAACTTACCCACTCGAGACTTTCGGAGGTGGTAATGACCAGTTCCATGTCATCCCTCACGGGTTGTTTGGATAGGATCACACTTTTCCAGTGTGGTGCAATCTAGCAGAGGGCCAATCTGGTGCCAGCAGCTGCGGTAATTCCAGCTCTGCGAGTTTGCTCCCATATTGTTGCAGTTAAAACGCTCGTAGTAAGAATTGCCCGCAAGGGCTTGCGAACTTCTGTTCGTTCACTGTGAACAAATCAGGACGCTTAGCGTATGGTTATCAGGAATGACTCAGCGCAGTATGATATCTTTACTTCTAGTAAAATCAATGAGAGCCACCGGGGGTAGATCTATTTCATGGCGAACGGTGGAATGTTCTGACCCATGAGAGAGAAACGAAGGCGAAAGCATCTACATAGAGGGTTTCTGTCGATCAAGGGAGAGAGTAGGAGTATCCAACCGGATCAGAGACCCGGGTAGTTCCTACCTTAAACGATGCCGACAGGGGCTTGTCCTTTAATGAGGGCAGGACCTTAGGAGAAATCATAGTTCTTGGGCTCTGGGGGAACTACGACCGCAAGGCTGAAACTTGAAGGAATTGACGGAAGGGCACACCAGGGGTGGAGCTTGTGGCTTAATTTGAATCAACACGGGGAAACTTACCAGGACCAGATGTTTTTTATGACTGACAGGCTTCAGGTCTTTCAGGATATGATTTTTGGTGGTGCATGACCGTTGGTGGTGCGTGGGTTGGCCTGTCAAAATTTCTGACTTTTTTTTATCATAATCAGGAAAATAAAATAAATTTATTGGAAAAATTATTCAAGTAGCTAATTAATTGGTTTGTTTATTTAAATTGAAAGAAATTTTTTTATATTAAAAATATCTTTTTCAATACCATCGATAATTCTGAAGTTTGCTCTTTCTATCTGCTCAAGAATTTCAGCAAATGATGGCCTTTCTTCAGGATTAGTTGACCAGCATCTCATTATCAAATTTCGTGAGAATTCATCGATACAGTCTGGAATTGGAGCCTTTTTCCCCGAAGCAACTTTGGCTATGCTAATTTGTGGATATTTTTCATTACTAAGGACGAAGAACAAGAGGACACCAAATGAATAAATGCCGACTTTTTCATTGTAATCAGAAGATTCATTCAAAATTTCAGGTGCCATAAATTTCAATGAGCCAACGCCAACTGTTTTTGATGAACTGTCATCAGGGCTTGCAATTCCAAAGTCGATCAATTTCACGTGCATTGAACTGTCATACAGAACGTTATCTGGCTTCAAATCTCTATGAATCAAATTGTGCATATGAACGTCTTTCATTGCCGAAACAATCTCATAAACAGTAGTGACACGCTGCATGTCAGAGAGATCATTCACAGATGAAGAAAGAATTGTCTCACAATACTCAAGAAGAATCGATGGCGGATGATCAACTCTTATCTGTCAGATTGTCGAGCCAATCGGAAGCGAGTTCGACAAACAACTTCTTCTTCGAATGGTCTAGCTCTTTTAATTCAATCAACGACATAATTGACATTGGCGATGCTTTTGCAATGCTTTCAATTGTCTGATTCGGATTCATCGGAGGCGTGTCACAGTTGACAAAAAAGGCACTGAAAGATTCACCTGCAAAGCACAAAGGACAGCCACTTTTGATCTCAGTTTCAACAGGTAATAAATAATGATCTTTGCTTGGTCCTTTACTTATGTTAAGCTGGCCACAGTCGTTCTTCCCACATGCAAGAACCTTGCCTTCTTTTGTAAGAAAATGTTGCTTTCAAATCTAGAAATTTGCTTAATTCGGACTCCACAAAGCTCAACAACAGAACTGAATTCTAGTCTTCCTCCAAGCAGGCCAAGAGGAGACTGAAACACTTTTCCACTCAAACTAAGTGCAATGAGGAAATTGAAGCCAAAATAGTTCATTTAAACTAAGAATTCAACATTTCTGCTTTGCATCGATTTTTTTTTTTACCAGATTTTTTTTAAAAATTCCTTCACAAAAAAGCAATTTAGAATAATTTTATATTTATAAAATAGTAACTCGAAAAATATTGTTTTCATAAATCATTAATTTTATCAACTTTTAATAATATAATTCATTACTTCTCTCCATTCAAAAGCGAAGACAATTCATCAACACTGCTGACAATGAAATCAGCTCCAGCCTTCTCCAACTCCCCTTCTTCTGCGTATCCGAACGTCACTCCAATTCCAGTGAGTCCGTGCGCCTTTGCTCCTTCGATGTCGAATTTTCGATCGCCAATCATCGCACAGAGCTTCTTCCTCTCATTTTCAGCGATCTTGTTCACACCAAGTTGTGAGAGGGCCTCCTCAACAACTTCTTCTTTGGACACCCGAGTTCCATCAAGTTCGCTTCCAACAACAACTTGGAAAAAACGCTCAATTTCAAAATGAGCAAGAATTTTACGGACAAAAATCATTGGCTTGCTTGATGCTACTGCAAGATGGATCCCTTTCGAACTGAGTTTTTCAAGCATCTCTTTGATACCTGAGAAAATTTGATTTTCAAAAATTCCAGTAGGTGCAAAACGTTCCCTAAAGTAAGAAACCGCTTGTACAGCATCAGCATCAGAAAGTGAATAGAAATGCATGAAGCTATCTTTCAAAGGTGGCCCGATAAATGGTTCTAATTTGTGAAGATCTGGTTCATTTATACCAAATTTCTGTAGAGCATATTGGACACATTTGGTAATTCCTTCTTTGGGGTCGGTCAAAGTGCCATCTAGGTCAAAAAGGCAGTATTTAAACATTATTGTGCTTAATGCATAGGTATAATTCAAATTTTGAATTGAATTGAGAGATCATCAGAAAAAAAAACAAACACAGTTATCTCTAATTTTTATTAATATTTTTTTATTTTAAGTAAAGTATATAATTTATTATCATAAATATTTTATATATTATTTCAATTTATATAATATTGTTTTCTTTTATTAATTAAATTGGCCAAAAACTAACTTAAATGAAATTAAAAAAGAAAAAGATTCTTCATATTTTTTGTTTTTATATAAATATCTAGCCAAATTATAAAATTTTTATTTTGGTCAAAATTAATCGTTGCTAATTTGACCATAAAATTCAATCAACGAAAAATAAAACTGATTATGATTACCATATTGATACCAACTATTTCCAGTTGATCTAATTCTAACAAAGCGATGAAATTCATCGTCACCTTTTTCAATTGGAAAATTGACAACTTTGTTTGATTCATTCAACAACGAGCAACTATCTCTCTTATCAATTACTTTCCAGGTTTTCCCATTGTCTGACACCTCAATTGCCCAATTTTTCAAGTGACCGAAATTTTTACCGTCACTGTGAGACTTTATTGAGTAACTTGAAATTTTGACACTTTTTTCTTTGAAATCGAAGCAAACAAAAGAATTACTGACATCCTTTGAAAAGTAGTAATTATCTCTATCGTAATCGACCAAATTTTTAGGATGATAATTGTCAAATGCAATTGAATTTGAAGTGATTTCTATCGTTCCATTATCATGAATGTTTCCTTTCGTTTCTTTTGTGAGATGTCTCAAAATTCCATTGAAGTCGTTCCCCTCTTTATGATCAAATACAGAGATATTTGAATGATATTGAATTACCCTGTTTAAATCAATTGAATTTCTGTTTTTATAACGGTTTTTATCCACTTTTTCAGAGCGATATTTCTCAGGAAGAAGACGCGCAATTATTGACTTCCAAATCGAGTCATTCATGTTTTCCATGCTGAAAACATTGATGAATTTTGAGAGGGTTTCTTCTTGCACGTTTGAAAAAATAACATATTCAAATAAAGGTGAATATTTAACGTCTTTTTCATATAAATTTAGAATGAATAATAATAACGAATCTTCATCAAAAAGTTGAAGCGATTCATTTGAAATTATTTGTTCAATAGTTTCAAGACTTAATGACATCATTCGTTCTTTGTTTATGCTTTCAAAGTTTTGCGAGATAAAATTAATCAATTTATGATTTTCTCTTTCTGAAAAGACGTTAAAATTTGAATATGCTTCAAATTTGAATTCCTTTGAAATTTGTGAATGAAACTGGTTGATGTTTATGAGATATTCAACAGCATTGGCACTTGTTATATCTTTGTAATATCGAGCGTTGATTCGAAAATATTCTTCAAAGTTTCCAAGATGCAAAAAATACTCAGAAAAATAATTTTTGCGGTTTTCATCAAGATCGACTTTTTCATAAGATGAGAGATCCAAAAATTCTTTAAAATAATCGATTTTGTCGTTGGATTTTAGATTTACTCTGGTTTTGATATTAAATTCATTAACAGTTTCATCCATAAAATGGGAATTTCTGATTATTGGTGACAAAATATCTGCAATGGTTCGATTTGTTAAATATGTTCTACCATCAACAACGAATATAAAATCTTTTTCATATAAATTAAAGGGAACATTCTTTATATTTTCAGTATCAAGGGTGTAATTAAGCATTGTTGTTAATGATGAAATTGTTAAAAAAACGATAAAATTCAATTCAATTATAAAAGTTTTAATAAAATAATGCAAAGTTCATAAAATCATTAATTAACAGATGCATTGGCAACTCAGCTGAGTATGCAGGTGCTATTTGAGTCTACTCAAATTTTATTAATAAATCAATCTTCCTCACCATTTCTATTCACACTCAACAAACTTCACACACAATTTTGATTCAAATAGTTCATTTACTTTTGTTACAAATAGATTTTCTCATGAAATAATGTCTCAAATGCAGAATTATGATCTTCGATTATCTGTATTTCCTATTCAATCAGATGTTTCTATAAATGAGAGTATTCTTTCTCGTTGATACTCACATTCATTATTGTATTCTATTTAATTATTTAAGAAATCTAACATACTAATATATTTATTTATGGATATCTTGCCTATTGTTAAAATATTGACTAAATTATCTGTAATAACAGTTGAATTAAGTGTTTTCTATCGATACTAAGTACCATCATCGATAGCATCGTTTATATTTTTTTTTCATTATCTGAAATTGCAAAAAATCGTCCTTTTGTAACTACAACTGCTGATAGTTCTATTTATTAATATCAATCATTTGTAAATGACAAATTATATTTTTAATAACCTGTATATTAAAGAAAATAAAAATGAAATAATAATTTTAATTAATTTGTGAAGAATACAAAAAATTAAATGCAAAAAGTTATATGAACAATTGAATTTCTAAACCGACTTTTGAAATTTACTTTATAAGAAATTTGAGAGAAATTTTCATGTTTCATTGAAAAAATTGAGAAAATTTATTTAAAAATAATTTGAGAGAATTTTAAAAGTTCTTTCAAATTCATTCAAATTTAATGACCTATTCATGAATTTATGAATCAATTGTTGGTCAATCTTTTGACCTTTTATTTATTTGTTTTCTTTACCAAAAAATACAAACGAACGCTATAATTTAATCGCAAGTGGTTCTGCAATCGCACAATTTTAATAAAAGCAAAACAGCTGATGCATTAAGTATTTCGTTAAATTGCGTCAAAGCAGTAGCTAAATAGATTGATGAAGGGAGACCAGAAAAAACACAACCTTGCCGACCACAAATATTAACAAATGAAATCAAGTATTTCATATGCGTTAAAGCAATAATGTTTCCTGAAATCCCTGGAGCTGAAATGGCAAATGTTTCCTGAACACAAATTTTATTCTTTATATGGAATAATCTAAGTTTAGCAACAAACAATTCTTTGATTGATTCTTTTCCAAAGAAATTGAAACAATGCCTCGAAGTGCAAGGCAATCAAGTATGATTTTAATTTTAATTTTTAATAAAAAATCAACTTTTTCAATTGCCGAAAAAATATTGATAAGAAATTTAACTTTTTAAATTAAAAATTTTAAAAATAAAATAACTTTTGTTAACGACGATTAACTATTGAATTCATTTCTTATCAATATTTTTTAGGAACACTATATTTAGTTAATTCAATTTTCTGAAATGAAAATTTTTCATTTAAAATTGAATAAAAACAATATACTTTAGTCCAAAATAAAAAATGATAGAAAACCAAAATAAAAAAGAATGGATTCCATTAAATAAGCGAGATCATTTGTCATTTTTACATATATGTGGCATTGCAGCTGGAACCTTAGTTGCCAATTTATTATGGAAAATAATATTTACCTTATTTGAACCAATCTCAGAGAAAGTTTCCATCAAGCAATGGATACGCACGCTATTACTATTTTACGGTTCTTTAGCTGGATT